ATGGCTGCTAGCAGGGAAGTGCACTGGGCAGGGCTGGGGTGGTGGGCATAAAGTGGGGCATTAGATGAAGGGCAGGGCTGTCCCTCCCCTCTTTCCACCCCACATTCCAACATAGGGCGGTGGTTTTAGCAAACTTGAAAAATTACAAATTTTGTGATTACAAATACATTCTATACAATTGCCATTTTCTTGAATTTCTTCCAACATATCCTTCTTTATACAACACTTTTCCAGTTCTGTAACAAAACTTCTGTCACGTCATCAGCAACCTTCATCACATAACATTACCTCTCTGTTCCTACAATGATTTATGCCAGTCCTCTGACCTTCAGCTTACAAACAACTTCACTACTTTAGATAACTTTTTAACTGCTTCACTTCCTTCTCTCCCTCTTACAATATCACATACAAATTAATCCTTTCTGTGGCTTGACTATCTTCTGACCCATCTTCCCCCATCTCTCTGGGTCACCCAACTTCTCCCTCTGTCTGTTCTTTTCACCGTAGTCTCAGCTAACGGTTTCAGAGGCAGCGCGGGCATCTATTAGGTTAATATCCCTCCTCCGCTGCTTTCTGTCTTATCTCAGAACAAACCGGTAATCCAACACAAATACACTCAGAACAGGACATTACACCTGCCGCCCCTCGGCTTCGTGGAAGCCTCAGCAGCTGAACTAAACCTCAGGGTCCTCACACTCGTCAAACCCCGAGTCACCGTCCGTAGACGCATTGTTGCAAGGTTCTGTCTTCCCATGGGCCCACAGCTCACCTGGTCCAGAAGTCTCATTGCAACATATTGCAAGGTTCCGTCTTCCAGAGGGCAACAGCTCACCTGGTCAGGACACTCATTGCAACTTATCTATCAGTCTACTGAGTTATCCACAGTCGCACAGCACGACAGACACATGAACAAATACACAGTCAGCAGAAAGCCAGTGGCAGGTTCGTTAAACAGCCCCAGGCGAGCAATAAAAATTACCTGCCGCTCTTGATGACCTCTGGAAGCCGACAAAACTGGCGCCAAGGCTGGACAGAAACAAATCGTACAGTGGTAAGTATAAAAAGTACCTACCGTACTCTCAGGGGTGCGCAAATCCCCTTTTGGTCCTGTCCTGGCCAGCCGCTCAGTCTCACACGCGGACTTCCATCGGTCCACAACCTGGTGGCCCCACGTTGGGCGCCAGCTAAAAAAGGTTGTGAGAACCACAATTGGGCTCAGGGTAGGATTTCTGCTGCTGTTCCTAATTTTGAGATATGGATTGCGTGCACGCCGGAAAATAATTACATGGACAACGTCCAGTACAACCAACCACTTTCACATCATCTCATCTCTGTTTATTGCAGGGCGGTGCTTAACCTTTTATACATAGAGAACAATAGAGTATACGTCACTATTACGTATATACAGTCACATTCTGAAAGGCACATATTGCTTGGTTGAAATATATAGAGAAATGTAGAAACTTGATGCTTGCTTCTCATCCCGTTATCTCTTCACTCCCCTTCACATTCCAAAGCCTAAGTGAAATTGTCTCTCAGTGCGAAGGGAGGGGTTGAGAGCATCGCTCTGAGCAAAACAAGTTAAGGAGGGACTGCAAAGCCCAGCAGACAAAACATATATATTTAGAAATATTAAAAAAGTATAAAAGTAAATATGTATAAAATGTATATTTTGAACAGAAAACAGAATAGGCATTTTACCAAATCCATCACAATACATTTATTAATTTGATTTAATGTATAATTTCCATTGGATTTTAAGCAAAGCTTCAAACTGGCCCTCATTTGGAGGGATTGTCTTTGATTTGGAAGAAAATCCCCCTGCAAATCTCTCCCCCTAATAGTTTTATGTACAGATCTCAGTTAAAAAAACAAAGTGCTTTACTACAGTAAAACCATTCCTCCAGTGTCTATATTACTGCAGTTGTTATTTTGTTTATCACTATTTTATTTTATTACTTTGTGCATTTTATTTTATTTTTAATTCTATTTTGCGGTGTATTTTTATTATCTTGCAATAAATAAAGGGGAAAAAAAAAAACTTGCAGGGCTTCATCAACCATTTATTGCATGGTCCTTGTAACTTGGAGGTAGGGGATGTGTATTTCTTCTACAAACTTTGTGCTAAAACGTATCCCTCTTCATCTCAGAAAATGTAAATCTCTATCTTTGCCAATCAAAGACGTGTGAAAGAAAAAAAAAGGAAAAATAATAATAATAAAAAAAAACGTGGACACAAAGTGCTGCTTTTGCCAGCTCTCCTCACCTCCACCAGTCAGTAGTCAGAGCACAACTGCCAATGAAATCACAACAGGGTGGGCACTGACAACAAATTCTGGGTGTGTCATTCAGGCAGATATGTATATATATACATACACTGTATATGCCTTAAACGATATGTTAAATAACATCATATATATATACTGTACATGCTTCAAATATGTTAAATTTTATAATTTAACATATCATTTAAGGCATATACAGTTGCAAGAAAAAGTATGTGAACCCCTTGGGATTACATGGAGTTTTGCATGAATTGGGCATAAAATGTGCTCTGAACGTCATCTAAGTCACAACAATAGAAGAACACAGTCTGCTGAACATAATACTACACAAACATTAGATGTTGCCATGGTTTAATTGCACATAACATGTAAACATTCACAGTGCAGGGAGGAAAAAGTATGTGAGACCTTAGCTTAATGACTTCTCCCAGAGCTAATTGGAGCCAGGAGTGAGCCAACCTTGACTCCAATCAGTGTGATGATATTGGATGTGTTGCTGACAGCTGTCCTGCCCTTAAAAAACACACACCTGTTTTGGGTTTACTGGTTTCAAGAAGCACTGTCTGATGTGAACCATGCCTCGCAGAAAAGAGCTCTCAGAAGACCTACGATCAAGAATTGTTGACTTGCATGAAGCTGGAAAGGGTTACAAAAGTATCTCCAAAAGCCTTGATGTTCATGTGTCCACGGTAAGACAGACTGTCTACAAATGGAGAAAGTTTAGCACTGTTGCTTCTCTCCCTAGGCGGGGGTCGTCCTGTAAAAATGACTGCAAGAGCACAGCGCAGAATGCTGCACGAGGTAAAGAAGAATCCCAGAGTGTCAGCTAAAGACCTACAGAAATCTCTGGCACATGCTAACATTTTTGTTGACACATCTACCATAAGGAAAACATTAAACAAGAATGGAGTACATGGGAGGACACCACCACAGAGGAAGCCATTGCTGTCCAAAAAGAATATTGCAGCACGTTTCAAGTTTGCAAAAGAGCACCTGGATGTTCCACAGCACTACTGGCAAAATATACTGTGGACAGATGAAACCAATTTTGATTGAGTTGTTTGGGAAGAACACACAACACTATGTATGGAGAAAAAAAGGCACAGCACACCAACATCCAAAACCTCATCCCCACTGTAAAACATGGCGGAGGGAGCATCATGGTTTGGGGCTGCTTTGCTGCCTCAGGGCCTGGACGGATTGTTGTCATTGATGGGAAAATAAATTCCAGAGTTTATCAAGACATTTTGCAGGAAAACGTATGACCATCTGTCCACCAACTGAAGCTCCACAGAGGATGGGTGATGCAACAGGACAATGACCCAAAGCATACAAGTAATTCAACAAAACAATGGCTGCAACAGCACAGAATACACCTTCTGGAGTGGCCCAGTCAGAGTCCTGACCTCAACCCAATTGCAATGCTATGGCATGACCTTAAGAGTGACTCACACCAGACATCCCAAGAATATTGCTACACTGAAACAGTTTTGTGAAGAGGAGTGGTCCAAAATTACTCCAGATCTTTGTGCAGGTCTGATCTACAACTAACTACAACTACAGGAAATGTTTGGTTGAGGTTAGTGCTGCCAAAGGAGAGTCAACCAGTTATTAGGTCCAAAGGTTCACATACTTTTTCCTCCCTGCACTGTGAATGTTTACATGTTATGTGCTATTAAACCATGGCAACATCTAATGTTTGTGTAGTATTATGTTCAGCAGACTGTGTTCTTCTATTGTTGTGACTTAGATGATGTTCAGAGCACATTTTAGGCCCAATTCATGCAAAACTCCACATAATCCCAAGGGGTTCACATACTTTTTCTTGCAACTGTACAGTGTGTGTATATATATATATATATATATATATATATAGCTATGAAATACATCTTATATGTGCCCTAAATTATATATTTTAACATGATTAAAATATATATATATATATATATATATATATATAGTAGTAAAATCCCATATATATATTTGTTGTATAAATTATATATACAGTAATTAATGTAGGGCATATATATAAATATATATATATATATATATAGTATATATAATGCATTTTATAAATGGTCCAAACAAATAATATATAATCTGTAACATTAATAATTGTACAATTATATGTATCAATATATTTATAATACATATTTATGAAGAACAAATATATACATGTGTTTATTAATAGATATACGTTTGCACATTTATACATATCTCTTTTTTTTCCTATACATACAATATATTCTAATAAATCTGAGTATACAATAGAGTAAGACAGGTATCACATTCTCCTTCCAGCACACATGACATTTGATCCCCGAGTACACAGTCCATAAGATGGCTGCTCCTCTCCTCCCCCCGCAGTCCCTCCCAGTCCTCCTTCCATCTGTCTCCACTATCAGCCAGACAAATATGGACGATATCCTTCCTTCTTCTATAAAGCTGGGCTCCGCCAACATGGCCGCCAGACCTCCTGTTTTGCCGACAAACTTCTTGTGCAGAGGGGTGGGGCTCCCATCATACGGCAACCCGATCAGGGAATGGGCTTAGCTCTGCGGAGTTTCCTATTGGCCGAGCGAAGAGCATCAGGTGGGCGTGTCAGTCTCCTCCCGCAGTGTCAACCGTGTCCCTTTATAAGAGGCCGATCCCACTCCGTTCCTCCTGTCTCCTCCAGCTCCGGGGCTCACATACACCTCCATTGTGAAATCAGCCATGTCCCTCACCAGTGACCCCGTCTACCAGAAACTCAACAAGTTCTACGAGGCCAACCGTGACACCCTCAACCTCAGGAAGCTATTTGAAGCGGACAAGGACAGATTCTGCAAATTCAGGTGAGACCTCCCAGCAGGGGGCGCCCTGGGTGATGGAGGGGCAATGGTCAAGTTGCTACCTGCAGTGCCCCTTAATCCAGTGACGTCATCAGACCCCCCTACCTACCATCCTGCTGCCATTGGAAGAGTACCCATGCTAGGGAAGAGGGGTCTCCTACAGAGGGCAGCATTGCTGCTGGTTAACCACATGTGTGCTGATTGAGAATCTTCTCCTGGAATTGTCCAACAAAGATGGATCATGAAGAGTCCCTTTTATTGTGCGCTTGGGGGGTGGACACCCACCTCAATATTTTTGGGTTGTGGGTGAAAATTGGAACATGAGAAAAAAAAATGGAGGTAATGTAATTTGCGTGCAGATGTAGCTCCTACTGGAAATTGATCCCAAAGACCTGGTGCTGCAATGGCTTTGAGTGGATGGTTTGGCCCCCAGGCATATGCCTCATTTTTAAAAGGAGGGAGAGGAGTTTATTATTATTATTATTATTATTATTTTTACGTTTATATGCTCTTAAAAATATTTATTTTTAAGGAGTATATAAATTAAAACAATTTTGTTATTATTAATATTTTAAGTTTTTATATGCTCCTTCAAAATATGTATTTTTAAGAACATATAACTTAAAATATTAGTTTATTCTCTTAAAAATACATATAATTGGTTTTTAAGTCATATGCTCCTTAATAGAAAATATGTATTTTTAAGAGCGTAACTTAAAATATATTATTTTGTTATATGGGCTTTAAAATACATTTATTTTTAAGGAGCAAATAACTTAAAACCAATCATTATAATATTGTTTTAAGTTATTTGCTCCTTAAAAATAAATATGTATTTTTAAGAGATTATTATTATTATTATTATTATTATTATTATTATTATTATTAATAATATTTTACTAGCAGAACCTTTAACTTCTTGCTTGTAATTGTGACATTTCAGGCATCCCTGTCCCCTTATCAAGCTGAATGATCACATGATGATAACTCCACTATAAAAGGAAATCACACACATTGATACAAAGTAACAATTGGCTAATAAATATAAACCTAGTAGCAATATGAAACAGAAGTAAGCCCTGACCATGGAGCTGGATCAGCACAGTGTGTCTTATCGTGGCCATACACACTTCAATAACTGCCCCCCCTTTTTTGTTTTTTGTTCCCCCCCCCCCCCCCAAAAGATCTTTACTCTGATAAGTATGATTGTTCCATCGTTGAAAACCCATTGGATCTCCATGGAAGTGGATTTTGATCGATCCTGGAAAATGAGATCAATAATTTACATGTGTCTCCAGTGTGGGCATGCACTCTCATATTTCAATTGATCGAATTCATGAGCAAAGCATCTCTGTGCTGCCAAACGACTGATCGTAATCGATAATTTTCTGCCCTGATCAGTTGGCTCAGTTTGATTGTCTTTACTCTAAATCGATCAGAAGGGAACTTAGGCCTGGTTTGCACTTGTGCAGGTTGCAATTAATGCATAGTGCGTTTTTGCTTTTTTTTGCGTGCGCTTTTTGGTGCATTTTTTTTAAGTGTGTGTTTTCTTTTTTGGAAGGTGTCTGTTGTCATGCAGGAGAAACCAGCATAAACGCAGAATCGTTTCCATTGAAGTCTACAAAACCAAAAACACAACTTGCTATGGGACAAAAAGTCCCTGACCCTTAAAAACCATGTTACATGGACTGTACTGCGTTTCTACAAAACTGAAAAACGCGTAGGTGTGAACAAGGCCTTAAAGCAGAGTTTCCAGTCATTTTTGTGGTTTTTTTTTTTTTTTTTTTTTTTTTTTACAGTCAGCGGCTACAAAAACTGTAGCTGCTGACTTTCAATAAACGCACACTCAGCTGTCCCAGGAGCCAGCGATGTTCTCACCCGCGCCGTCCTTCTCTCCCTCTTCTTCTGCCGGCCTCTCAACTGTGCGCACCAGGCTGTGACAGGTTGCGGCTTCAAAGCCAGGTGCCTATTGCGCATGCGTGAGTCACGCTGCTCATCCATCGGTCTGGCAGTCTTCTGGGACCTGTGAAGTGTCTCGGAGGACTGCGGGAGGAAGGAAGGAGACCGAACTTCTCTCACTTCGCCGTGGTGAACTGAGCCAGAAGTGGGTGCTGGTCAAAACCAGGTATCTGCTCCCCCCAAAAAGTGCCAAATGTGGCAGTGGAGTGGGGGGGGGGCAAACAAGCCGAGCTGCTATTCTTGGTTGGAACTCCACTTTAAGCCTATATGATTGTTTGATTTTATTATCTGATCAATGAGTGATTCGATCAAAAGGACTGACTCGCAAAGTGTCTATGGCTGCCATAAATCCATTGAGAAATCTGAAACGGATTAATAAATCTGGTTTATAGAAGTCCCAAATCCTAATATCCCTCTGTGGCAGTCTCCGGGGACACTCCTGGTTGGTCCTGTAAAGCTGTTGGACTATCGGTGCCTTTCACCTTCATACATACCATGAGCCCCTGGGTGACAACCATTTTTGGCCTTGACCGTTGAACTACTGCCCATGCACTAACACCTATAAATAGGCCCTATAGTCCCTGGGGGCCCCTGTGCAGCTGCACACTCTGTACCCTTGGTAGGCCCTCCTCTGTGTCTTGTCTCCTCTTTTAGTTCATTGTCATGGAGTAGCTGTAGGTAGTTGATGATCTGCAGCCTGTACCGGTTCCTGTGCTGGAGGGGTTAATGCACATGGCTTTGCTGAAAGAATTCGGTCAGCAGAAGGGGCAGTTTGTTAGCAGGGTGGGAGACCCCCAGTGTAGGGAGGCCTCGGAAGTGATTCTGCCTGGGTGACCCCGGTGCTGGTTGTCCTTCATTCATCCTTGTGGTTTGGTACGTGCTCCGGGGCACACGTCTCTGCAGCTTTGTGATCACACTCAGCTTTCCTGTACACTCATCATAGGAGTGTGTGGGGGCTGTGCGCCGTCTCCTAAGCAGCATCCTGCGTCCTTGAGCGAGCGTCGTGCTGCTGATGTATGAGAGGCGTCCATTCCATCACATGGCAAGCTGTATGCGCTCCATCCTGCAGCAAGCTCCATCCACTGCTTTTATTAATGGCATGTCTGTCTCTTCATGGGTGTTTGTGCGATCTGATATTTGATACAAGGATTAAGCAATGGCCCCATCATTGCTGTCACAGATCACAATAATAACATCAGCATTTGGTGTCAGTGACTGCAATAACCCCCAGAATTGGTGCTGGTGGCCCCAGTAACCACCCCTTGGTTGGTGCTGGCGGCTGCAGTAATGTCAACCCCAGATCGGTACTGGTGGTGGCAGTAGTAATGCCCACCCCTACATTCCTTGAATGGTGCCTGCAGCTGCAGTAATGCCCATCACTTGATCTCTAGATTGGTGCCAGTGGCCACAGTAATAACCTCCCCCTAGATTGCTGTCAGTGGCCGCAGTAATAACCTCCAACCTAGGTGCCAGCGGTGACAATATTAACCCCTCAGCCTAGGTGATGTTATCCCCCTCCTTGGTTTTTGCCAGCAACCACAGTAATGACGACCCCTAGATTGGTGCCGGCGGCTGCACTAATGCCCTTCACTTGATCCCTAGATTGGTGCCGGAGGCTGCAGTAATGCCCTTCACTAGATCCCTAGATTAGTGCCGGCAGTTGCAGTAATGCCCATCACTAGATCCCTAGATTGGTGCCAGCGGCTGCAATAATGCCCACCTGTAGGTTCCTAGATTGGTGCTGGCCGTCGCAGTAATGCCCATCACTAGATCCCTAGATTGGTACCAGTGACTGCAGTAATAACCACTCCAGATTGGTGCCGGCAGTTGAAGTAATGCCCATCACTAGATCCCTAGAATGGTGTCAGCGGCCACAGTAATAACCTCCCCTATATTTTTCAGTGGCCGCAATAACCCCCGGCCTAGGTAATGTTATCACCCTCCACATATTGGTGGTTGGTTGGCAGTGCTGTATACCCCACTCACTATTTACCAGATCGCTCACACACCTCTCCCTGATGACGTCGGGATGGCACTGTACTGTATTGATTGGAGAAGATTCCTCCTGATAGCGCTGGCTCAATTTCAGTGCCAGGTGAGGGAACACACAGAAGCGTCCGGCACCTGGCATCTTGCTGCCGCTATGTAAGGCCACTGGTTGACCATCAGACCATTCATCCAAACTGATATTTTGGGCACGGTGTAGAATCGTCACTGGCTTCTTGGGAGCTACAAGAGTTTCTCTGCTCTGTAGGGGGAGTCTCCCTACTTTGGCTGCACTCTTTGTAGAGTTAAGGCAGCAAATATTCAATGAGGAAGAAGGGAATCTCTTGTTGTGGCTGCAGTATGCACAGACCTCACCAGCAGTGTCCCCTCTGTCCCATTGACATCCTGTCCATCCGTTTCATCCCCCCCCCCCCCCCCCCCCCCCCCCCCCCCCCCCCCCCCCCCTTTTTTTTTTTTTTTTTTTTTTTTTTTTTTTTTTTTTCTCGTGTGTATACTGCATCTGAAAATGTGGCCAGACAGCATGTTTTACTGCTGTATGTGACAGACGCTGCACACTGCATTCATTCTGAAAGGTACCTAGGTAACACCGTTGAATGCACTTGGGTTGTAGCACACCACAACACACACATGTCAACCATTGGCATTGTGCTGCATTTAGAAGAAAAGTGTATCTGATTCGCAGTGTGTTGTGATGCCCTGCTTTGCCAAAAAATTAACCGGTGCCGTTTTGAGGTGCATTGGCAACCCATATATAATAAATTGTCAGTCTTAAAGCAAATCACGTTCATGCAAAGGTGTAAAGTGTGGATAAGTCCACAGATCTATAGAATTTATATCTAAATGCCGCTTTTGGCCTGGTGGGTGTAAGGCGACTCCACACACCCATACTGGACACCCCCTCCCATTTAAAAAAAAAAAAAAAAAAAAAAAAAAAAAAAAATATATATATATATATATATATATAATAGAAAAGTTCTTTGTCAATCTAGCATGACTCTGCAGAGTTGGGCTCAGATTGCTTTCCTAATACAGAGTGTTTGACACACACTTTGCCTGACATACCGGGGATGTGGAAACCTGCGGTTTATTGTTCCACATTTTCTGACCATCTCACCGCATCGAGTGCAGTCTGGTAATGGTCTATGGCCCTTCACTCCAAGATGTTTCTAGTAATTATTGTATAACAAATGTGATTGTCATTTGTTACATTTTCAGATGTACACCTCACAAAATGACCTTGTCTTTCAAGATCATGATAATAGGGGTCTATTTACACCTATGTGATTTTAATAGATGCATAGGGCCCTTAATGAGCCTCAACACAGGGAAAAAAAAAAAACACTATATTTGGCCAAAGCAGCACATACAGTACATAGAGCGATTACATCCATGTGCTTAGGGCAGTCATGATTCTGTATACAGTGTATGTGCATTGGGGTACCATTGAAAATGAATAGCAGCACACAATGCATGTTATATCCCTCCACAATCACACACTATTCTTATTGATTGATATAGCTCTGACATATACCACAGTGCTGTACAGAGAACACTGAGCCGGTCACATCATCTCTGCATCAGAGGAGCTTACACTCTAATGTCCTCACCACAGTCACAAACCTTATTTGTTATAATTGGTGTGTGACTGTGGTGGGACATTAGAGTGTAAGCTCCTCTGGTGCAGAGACTGATGTGTGTGGCTCAGTGTTCTCTGTACAGCACTGCAGTATGTCAGAGCTATATAAATGTATAATAATTGGTGTGGGACATTAGAGTGTAAGCTCCTCTGGTGCAGAGACTGATGTGACTGGCTGAGTGTTCTCTGTACAGCACTGCGGTATATGTCATGTATAATAATTATACATTTATATAACTCTGACATACCACAGTGCTGTACAGAGAATGCTCAGCCAGTCACATCAGTCTGTGTACCAGAGGAGCTTACACTCTAATGTCCAATACAGTCACACACTCAGTGGCGTCCCGAGGCAGGGCAGGGGGTGCGCACCGCACTGGGTGACACCGGACCAGCTCCACGAAAAGGTAAGTTGTAAAGCAAGCCAACAATCCCCGCAAGATGGATCGGATCTGTGGACTGATCATAATGGATCGGAGTCACCATGCAACCTTTATGGGGTGACACCGGACCAGCTCCACAAAAAGGTAGGTTGTAAAGCAAGCAGACGATCCCCGCAGGATGGATCGGAACTGCGGATTGGCGAGCATAATGGATCGGACTCCGATCCATAAAGGCTCAATCCGCAGATCCGATTTATTCTACGGGGATCGTCGGAGGGGGTGTCACCAAATGTTATCGCACCGGGTGACATCAACCCTAGGGACGCCCCTGCACACACTAAATAATAATCATTTTGTACTGTATATAGCTCTGACATATACCACAGTGCTGTATAGAGAACATTGAATCCTAAAGTGCAAACATAAATGTGCATTCCTGTCCTGGTGACAACTGAGTAGGAATCCTGAGAAAGAGGTTGTGTCCTCGAAACGCGTTAGCCAGTTGGTCATCCAGGGTTCCATCGTATGGACTCAGATGTTATTTGGATCATGCACCTTGTTCAGTTTGACATGCCTGTGTTATTATGTCCATTGTGAGTATGATACCTATTTTGTTTCTTCAATAAATTATTTTAAACGACAATGCACTAGGTCGGTGCACCCTTTTTCTGTTTCTCCATTTGTATCCAGTGTATTCGGACCACCCCGGTCAGCAAGTCGTGCATATTCCAGAACATTCCTATTGGGTCTACTGAGTCCTTTCCTAGCGCAGGAGTAAAGTGTTTGTTGTGTTGGATTTGTAGATATTTCATCCTTATTCCTGTTTGGAGGAAACCAAGGGAAATCTCCCCAATGAGACGCAATACTCTGCCTTTATATATTGTAAGGCCAAACCATTTTGATGATCCTATGACCTGATCTTGATCTGGACAGGCAACACTTTTATTTCCTCTTCCTTTTTTTAAGTTCTATTTTAAAAATAAATCCATTTTTAAAAAAAGAAGCAACAATTCTTTAAGGTTTTATGGGAGAACCAGTTTTCCTAATTAATGTCCGCAGCTGAAGCTCAGTTTTGGTCCTATTCTGAATAAGAATAGAGTTGGAGAGCGCAGCAGATAGGACTGCACTGTAAATGGTCTCATCTCCCGTATTTCTATATATAGCCGACCTTCAGATATGCCATATAACCCCCACTGCCCTCTGGTTGTTGGCAGAAGAAGCTGTGATCTCCAGGCAGAAGTGATTTGGCAAACGGCGTCCGCTTTCATAAGAGGACCACTTGAGCAAAATTCATCAATGATGTCAACATTTTGGGCAATGGAAATTGTTCTGCAATTTTTTTTTTTTTTTTTTTTTTTTAATGTGCTTGTGAAACTGAGTCTGCCGCAAGTGGAGAAAGCGAGCAAGAACTGATGTTCAGCCATAGACATGGGCTAAAATATAGTTAGTAAAATAATATTACCTATTGTAATGAGATGAAATAACATTTAAAATAAATTTGCAAACCAATTTCAGTTTTTTTCAGGCCTGGTTCACACTAGTGCGATTTTTAGATGCCACGTCAAGTCGCACAGAATTGCACGACAATGGATACCACGCTATTGTCAGTGGTGCCCTTTATCCTCAATGCTGTGCAGCATGTGTTTGGAGGAGGTACAGGCACTACTTTGGAGTTGTAGTGTGCTTTTTGTCCTAATAGACTTCAATGGAAAGCCCAAAAGCATAGCTTGCATGGCAAGCGTCATTAATCAGTGTAACCAGGTGACTGCGCTGATAAGTGAGCACTTTTTGCTTCTGGAACTCCTCGCTAAAACCAGTGTGCGCTTGCCGTTGCAAGCATTATGGTGGACACTCACGGGCTGTTTATTATGGTGTATGAACGGCTACACTTGAGGCACAAGGCATGATGGAATGGGATCCAGGGGGATGATCATGATACTTGGAGCTAGTTCACCTTTTCTTTTCTTTTTTTTTTTTTTTTTTTTTTTTTTTTTTTTTTTTTTTTTTTTTTTTTTTCTTTGGGGGGGGCGTGGGCATTGCCTTGACCTGCTCCAGGAAAGTTAAAAAGCGTGGATGGTACGCCATGCATTGCCTTGACTGCTCCTTTCTACCCCAGAGATATGAGATGATGGTGATTGGGTTTACATCCACTTTATATTTACTGTGTGCTTTAAAGAATTTGGTAAATTTCGACTTTGTCAACCTTTACTATAGTTATCCTTAATGATGCCAGAAAATCAGACATTCCTTGGGCAGGTCTTGGTTAGTCACACTGCTTAAAAGCTCCTTGGAAAAAAAAAAAAAAAAAATCCTACAGCTTGATACTTTAGTGTGATAAGTTGTAGCTATATCCATGGAAGAATTTGGTATATTTAGTGAATGTTGATGCCTCCAGGAGATCATTTGTGGACTACCCCTGGATAGTTTGGTGTGGATCAGGATGAGTGGTTAATGACGCTCCAAAGAAAATCAGACATTAAACATTACAGTGGGGCCCATTTGGAGAGTGGGGCATGAACTCCAACATGGTTGGTGATGTAGTGGGGCTCCTTGGGTGAGTCTTCGGTGGGAGAGGGGCTCCTTGGATGAGTGGTTGGTGGGGAGTGGGCTCCTTGGATGAGTGGTTGGTGGGGGAGTGGGGCTCCTTGGATGAGTGGTTGGTGGGGGAGCGGGGCTCCTTGGATGAGTGGTTGGTGGGGGAGCGGGGCTCCTTGGGAGTGGTTGGTGGGGGAGCGGGGCTCCTTGGGTGTGGTTGGTGGGGGAGCGGGGCTCCTTGGGTGAGTGGTGGTGGGGGAGCGGGGCTCCTTGGGTGAGTGGGTGGGGGAGCGGGGGCTCCTTGGGTGAGTTGGTGGGGGAGCGGGGCCTTGGGTGAGTGGTTGGTGGGGGAGCGGGGCTTCTTGGGTGAGTGGTTGGTGGGGGAGCGGGGCTCCTTGGGTGAGTGGTTGGTGGGGGAGCGGGGCTCCTTGGGTGATGGGTGGGGGAGTGGTTGGTGGGGGGGAGCGGGGCTCCTTGGGTGAGTGGCTGGTGGGGGAGCGGGGCTCCTTGGGTGAGTGGCTGGTGGTGGTCTGTGTAGTGTCCTCTTAACATTCTGGTCAAGCAGAAGATCAATCCAACATTACTCAAGGAACCTTCAGGCCGCCTCCTGAAGGAAACCTGGGTGAGACAGGCTGAAGTAACCTGTTATTCTGATCAGGTGGTCCTGGAATTGATGTATGATCAGGTTATTTAATAAATTCTATTCAACTTGTTTATTTCCTCTGTCTTCTCTTTCCAGTAAAACTCTGCAGACCAGCAATGGAGACATCTTGGTGGATTACTCCAAGAATCTCATTACTGAAGAGGTCTCAAAGCTGCTCATAGAACTGGTAGGTAGTCTATTTATTACCGTGTTGTGTGTTCTGGGAGTTGTAGTCCCTCAGCAGCAAAGGCTGTGTGTTCCATTAAATAGATAAAACCGGTTTTGGGATTCAGCATGGTATACATTCCAGCTAATGGATTGCTGTAATTTTATGATGAATCCAAAAGCCTACAATGAAGTAATAGTTTAGGCCACAAGTAATTGGATTCTTGCTTGCTGTGTGGGGGAGGGGTCCTTAATGCTTTCTGTACGGGGGATCAAGAGGGTCCTCATTCCATGTTTGTTTGGGAGGGTTCTCAATGCTTCCTTTTGGGGAACCAGGAGGCTTCTTATTGCATTGCATGCTATAGGAGTGCTTATTGCTTGCTGTGTGGGGGGAGGGGTCATCATTGTCTGTTCTATGGATATGTCTAACATTTTTTTTTTTTTTTGTTTGTTTTTTTTACTGTCAGGCCAAATCAAGAGGCGTTGAGGCAGCAAGAAAGCGCATGTTCACTGCAGAAAAGATAAACTTTACCGAGGTACAAACCTTCGCTTTACAGCCAAATGTTTTCTGTAGATCAATTTTTGTATCAAGGTTGATTTATTAAACACGAAGGATATTGCTTACTGGAGAGTCCTTTGTGCTGGTGCCAGCTGTCATAATTGAAATCCTCTGTCCTCTACCCCCTCCCATACCCCAAAGCTGTAATGTTCTGGTGCTCTGGGGGTTTATGGCGCCAAAGGACCTGTTACAGGCACTCTTCAAGAGTGCCACATATGCCCACCTTTTCAGCCCCCCCCCCCCCCCCTATTTGTAGAAGCCACAGTATAGCTTCCATCAAAGAAAAGTGCTCTAAGAATGGAGGGTGGGTGGATGAGTGAAAGGTCCATCTCCTCCATTCATAGAAGCTATAGGACCTTGAGGTCATCAGAGGACAAGGGGGCATACTTTACGTCTGGAGGAAAAGAAATGTAATCTCCAAACACGGAAAGGTTTCTTCACAGTAAGAGCTGTGAAAATGTGGAATAGACTCCCTCAAGAGTTGGTTCTGGCCAGCTCAGTGGATTGCTTTGAAAAAGTGCTGGATTCTTTCTTGGATACATAGAATATAACTGGATATAACATTTATAGGTAAAGTTGATCCAGGGAATATCCGATCGCCTGTCGGGGGATCAGGAAGGAATTTTTTTTTTTTTCCCTGCAGAAGCGAATGGGATCATGCTTTACTGGGTTTTTTTTGCCTTTCTCTGGATCAACTGAGTATAGGATTATTTTTATTTTATTTTTTTTAATGGTTGAACTGGATGGACTTATCTTTTTTCAGCCAGACTAACTATGTAAGAACAAATTCCATGAATGGAGGAAAGGCGTGTGAACCGTGCATTTTATTTTAAAGAAAACTGTAGATGTAATATACTGGTAGCAACCATTAAGACTTCTCTAACCCAAGTATAAATTGGGCCGGTGTTGGGAAGTCTAGGTCTATTCACAGAATATCAGTACGTTAACTGGTTGAAGCAGCTGTGGGTGCACCACCTGCTGGCTGCAAGTGGTAAATGTGCAGTATATTTACTTTTTTTTTTTTTTTTTTTTTTTTTTTTTTGTTTGTGGTGTTTTTTTTTTTTTTTTTGTTTTTTTATCTTGAATATAATAAAATGTGTCAGTACACAGTTAAGTGATCAGTGAGTAGTTCTGCCCCATATAAAATTACACTATGACTAATGGCAATTCAGTGGAGTAGGTAGGGTTGAGGAATATGTATTTAGAACTGGAGAAGGCTTAGGACCAGTGCATGTAAAGGTATTTGCCTTTAATGCCATCTTATATTATTTTTATTTCAGGTACTTATATAGCGCCGTCAGTTTACGCAGCACTTTTACATATATATTGTACAACCACATCAGTCCCTAACCCTCAAGGGGTGTACAATCTAAGGTCCCTAACTCACATACATACACATACTAGGGACAATTTAGACAGGAGCCAGTTCACCTACCAGCATGTCTTTGGCATGTGGGAGGGAACCCGAGTAACGGGAGGAAACCCACACAGGCACAGGGAGAACATGCAAACTCCAGGCAGGTGGTGCCGTGGTTGGGATTTGAACCAACGACCCTAGTACTGCCAGGGGGGAGTGCTATCCATTTAGCCACTGTGCTGCCCACATAAAATAGTGGAACATAGGGGATTAAAATTGATTTTACAAGCCCTGTGCCAGTCTTGAGAGGAGCGGGGGGATGGATGGTGGGGGTCTTAGGGTTGGACTGTAGGGGGTTGCATTGTCTTTGTAAGATGCATTAATTGGTGTTCATAGAGGAGGAGAATGTTGCAAACCACGGAGCAGTTTTATTTTTATTTTTTTTGCCAATTGCTGGTTCATTGTACCCATACAGTCCATGGCATGTCTGCTCCTCCAGCATTGCCTCCCTTTTTACACTCCTGTTTAATCCAGTCAGATAAATTGTGTATTGACTCTGCATTCATCTTTATAGTATAACAGGGAGCGGCTCACACAGCAGTTGGCAGCGAGCGGCAGGTTCACCTGAGGATACTTTTTTGTACATTGTATGGAAGATAATTGCTGTGCCCTTTTTCTGGGTGTGTTTTTGGTTTGCATTGGCCATTATCCTGAAGCACGATCTCACTGGAAGGCATATATTTTTAGGGCCTAATAGCATGCTATTGAAAGTGAGCAGTTGTACTAGTTATCTCTGGACTACGGAACACCTCCCCCTATGGTATGGAGATTGTAAGGTGTTCTGTAGTCCTAACTTTCCTGTCCTAGGGTGGCAACTCGTCTTCTTAATCGACACAGTACTCCTATCGGTTATGGGTGTTCCCAACTACAGAACCTCTCCCCTCCATGTTAGAGAAGAGGGGGTGGAGGTGTTCTATAGTCCTGTCCCAGGGTGACAGCACAGCTACATACAGTACAGTGAGTGTTCTCACTCCACTCTAGTACAGGAGGTGTTACTAGCAGAATCAGTAGATGAAAATAAAGGTAATAATGATGTGTGGTGGGGGGGAGGGGGGAACTAATGCAACCACCACATGTATCCGTGTAATTTCATAGGTATGTGGAGGCTGATGTGTTGAGGCATCCCCAGGCTTTTTGTATGTCTTGGATACTTGATTTACTAGAGTTTTTGTGTTCCAGTTCCTCTTGTTAAGTTTTCCATAATATATAGCAAATACAAATCCAACAGGGATGTTGGGAACCCCTCATAATGGGCACAGCAGATGTACAGACCTGGGAATTCAGCACAGGGATGGTGGGAACCCCTTATGATGGGCACAGCAGGGATACAGACCCAGGAACTCAGCACGAAGATGGTGGGAACCCCTTATGATGGGCACAGCAGGTATACAGACCCAGGAACTCAGCACAGTGATGGTGGGAACCCCTTATGATGGGCACAGCAGGTATACAGACCCAGGAACTCAGCACAGTGATGGTGGGAACCCCTTATGATGGGCACAGCAGGGATACAGACCCAGGACTCAGCACAGGGGATGGTGGGAACCCTTCATAATGGGCACAACTGGTATACAGTCCCAGGAACTCGGCACAGGGATGGTGGGAATCCTCATAATGGGCACAGCAGGTGTAAAGACCTGGGAACTCTTACACAAGTTTGGTGGAAACCCCTCATAATGGGCACAGCAGGTGTACAGACCTGGCAACATGGCACAGGGATGGTGGGAATCCCTCATAATGGGTGTACAGATCCGGAAACTCTGCACAGAGATGGTGGAAACCCCTCATAATGAGCACAGCAGGTATACAGACCTAGGAACTCGGCACAGGGATGGTGGGAGCCCTCATAATGAGCACACCTGGTATACAGACTTGTTCCAGCAAAAAAAAATCCAGCAGGGATGGTGAGAGCCCCTCATTATGGGCACAGCAAGTGCAAAGAGCCAGGTGCTCAGTGTAGGCATGATGGAAATGCCTCATAATGGGTACCGCAGTTGTGCAAACCCTGAATGTGGCACAGGGATGGTGTGAACCTCTCATAATGGGCACTGGAGGTGTACAGACCGAGGAACTTGGTGCAGAGATCCCACAAATAGTCTCTGCAAGATGGAAGAGATGGCCAGGGAATCAAGTTTGTGTTTTGCTTTTTGTTTTTTTTTGTTAAAGGAAGCCCCCATCCCCCTTTGCATCTTGCCGTTGCTGGAGCCTCCACACTACAATTTCTTCAAGTAGTAGAATTAGCGGACCCCCAATGTTTGCCAGTACAGGAGGGGGTTTAGCACCCCTTTTTACATTTCCAGCATTGGGACATAATTGTTGCGGGTCACTCCAAAATTGCATAATGTGTTCTATGTCTATGTATTTGTACACCCATCAGTCCTCTTCATCCTGTGTTCACCGTTCCAGAACCGCGCCGTACTTCATATCGCTCTGAGAAATCGCTCTAACACTCCCATTAATGTGGACGGTAAAGATGTCATGCCGGAAGTCAATGCAGTCTTGGAGAAGATGAAAGGGTTCTGCCAGGTATAGAGTCCTCTGCTCTGATTGGGTGGTGATAGGGGCTTAATGCATAAATGACCGGACTGGTAATGACTTTTTCTTTATAGAAAGTCCGCAGTGGAGATTGGAAGGGCTACACTGGAAAAGCCATCACTGATGTGATAAACGTTGGCATCGGTGGCTCAGATTTGGTAAGTGTCTGTTTAACTTATTCATGCAAATCTCAATGGTACACATGCTTTAGGGGCCTACTATGGCACACAGAAGGTTGTCCATCCCTGCCCAGATTACATGATCTGCTGGTTTTCTAGGCAAAATATATCTATTGGAACCTCTTTAGGTATACCGGGGTATCAGAAGGATGGGAGCACCAGAAATCTTGGTTTGGTCCAATTAGAATTTCCTGATCTATAATCCAAAAGCCAACATGTTTCAGGGAGTTAAAATACTTCATCAGGGTTTGTATGCTGGAAGTGGGTACAAATTTGTATCGGGTGAAAATGCAAAATGATACAGCTAACAGGAGTTCTCGGTTGCCAAACTGACAGTCTGCTCATTATACAATTGACTAGTCTGGATTTACTGCCAGATCAGACCTTGATGAAGGCATTTTGAGTCCCCAAAAATGTGTTTTTTGCCTTTTTTTTTTTTTTTTTTTTTTTTTTTTTTTTTTTGATTAACGTGTCATGGAAAATAAAATTGATAAGCTTTGTGGTGCTCCCATCCTTCTAATATCTCCAACGTGGTGGACATGCCTAAAGCTGTGGCACCAGAGCCTCCAAATATTTCCATTAGGCATCTTGCCTCCTTATGTTTATTAATCCGTAATGGACCTTGGATGGTCAATATAAAAATAGCCCCCTTTTATGGACCAGACATACAGGTGGGGGTGATGGGAGTATTTAGGAATTTCTTTCAGCCGCCCACCGCAGAGTAATTTTAAGATAAGTTGGGTAATCATGTTTTTGTGCTTGTTTTGTGTGTGGGTGTTTTGTGGTTTTTTTTTTTTTTTTTTTTTTTTTTTAATCTCACTATATTAAATGACACTATATGTTGTGGAACTTGAGAAATGTGTCCTTCTCTAATGAATTTGCGGATGCTGCTGGTTTTCAGGGTCCATTGATGGTCACAGAAGCCCTGAAGCCATACTCCAAAGGTGGCCCCCGTGTTTGGTTTGTTTCAAACATTGATGGCACCCACATGGCCAAAACGCTGGCTGCGTTGAACCCGGAAACCGCCCTCTTCATCATTGCATCCAAGGTAATCATTACCCTGCCGTCTTCTGAATATGGCCTTCAGCGTCCACTAGTCATCCCAGGACATTGTAGCCGTTCTGTATCCACCACAATCTTTTTATATAACAGTTTGGAGAACAGATTCTAAAGTGCAGGAAGGGAGAGACTTAAAGTGGAACTTCACTCTCAATCAAAATTGACTGTTTTTAATCCTTGTGCTGATAGCATTAGTAAATGTTTAGGAAAGTATATCATATTACTTGTTTCGTTTTTTGTTTTTTTTTTTTCGGTTTGGGTTTTTTTTTTTCTCCTTTTTTATTTCTTCAGTTACTTCCTGGTCTCCATGCCTAGGCAAATGATGCCATGCATCCCAGGAGTCTTCAGGAGTGGTGGGAGGGTTCTCAGCTCAGCCAATGCCTGAGCTAAAGGCAGATGGATTCCAGGAAGTAAATGCTAAATTAATCATCTGCCCTTACTCAAGATGGCCCCTGCCAGAAATGCCAGGGGGTGTTTTTCAAAATGGTTTCTCCCGCAAAAATAAAGCACAGACATGGGTGGATGGGTGAGTTTGCTTTGATAGTAACAATAAATTAAATAGCATTTTTGGTTTGTGGTGCTCAGATGCAGTGCAGTTCCACTTTACGATTCTCCTCTTGTATTTTAATCTGTTGGACCTAGCACCGATTGTGTTCTTGGCATTTTGGCAAATCCTGCTTCTCATAACACATACAGTATTATGCCATCTTGTGTCCTTGGGATGCTGTTCTGTCTTGTTGCTTCCTAAAGCCTCTCCAGTACAAGGCTTGTGTTTTGCACTGACAAGCGGTAACTTGCCTTAACTGTTCCTTGTGAATTGGATAAATGGCTCTATATTCAGGATGTATCTGGTGACTCTAAATCGGGGGTGTCAAAGTCCCATTTCATCATGGGCTGTATCAGCATTATGGTTGCCTTCAAAGGGCCTGTTCTATCTGTAAGACTAGATGTCCAGAGCACCCCCCCCCCCCCCCCCCCCAATTACATCAGATGTCAAGAATCTCACACCCTCCCTAACATCACCGTGCACCCCCTTTGGGGGCAGAGCTGGAAAGCACAAAGTGCAGGGTCTGGAGGAGGACCAGAGGAGGAGTGGAGTCAGTTACCGGAGTCTGCTGAATGCTGAGACCAGGGGAGGCAGAGATGGGGGGTGTGCAGCTGCACTGAGAGGTGCAGGATTTGGCGGAGGAGTTCTAGTCTTCTCTCTGCTGCTGAGACAAGGTGGGGGCAGAGACAAGGGGGTACCTGCAGGAGAGGTGCAAGGACCATATGAAATGGCCTGGAGGTCCAGATTCGGCCCGCAGGCCTTGTGTTTGACACCTGTGCTCTAGATGGGTAGTTGGATTACCTGTTACAGATGGCATAAATGAGTAACCAGCAAAAAATGAGGCTTGGTCACCTTGTTTCTTGGATGTGTGCTGGAAATTGACAAAGCTTTCCGCTTTGAGTTCTCATTCAATTTCTCCATTCAAACCTTATGGAAATTGTCCAGAAGGCCTCTGATTTTAATCCTCTCCTTTCACATTTTCTCCTGTACCTGGGAGCAGGGTGAGGCTCTTGGCATGGTATCCATGAACAAAACCAGAATAGTCACTTTCCCTGTATAATCCCCGTCAGGGTCATTTTGTTCCTACTTTTTTTTTTTTTATCATTAAAAATCTAGAAATATAACTTCGTAACACTCAGAATTACAAATCTACACACTCCTCTTGGGCATGCAAAAAAGTCACCTGTACTTGGGAGGTGATGAGAAAAAGATGTGAAACACTGGACTTGTGATGACTTTATGGAATGGCTTTGGCAAGCTTACAACAAGGTGCCGGGGTCCCCAAGAGGCAAAGAGTAAAAGGGCACCGACTGTTTATCCTAAGAGTCCACTGGCCAACCATTTTCAGGGGCAAAAGAATCTCACTTCATCAGGGCTTAGCAGCAGTGTAAATTGTAATTAAAATACTCCTGAAGGATAATCTTGTCAAGAGTGAAAATGGCATAGTCTCAATGGAAGTGTAGTAAAGATGCAAGTGACACCACATGTAGACTGGGGGGGGGGGGCTAGAACAAATCTCCAGGCCTCCAGAGTCAGGGTCACATACAGATGACCTGAAGTGCCATCAATCTATTCTATATGTTTGGAATTGTTTACTAAAATTGGATTAATTTCGCCAGCTGCCTATTTGTGAATGATCAAATCCTAATTGATGCATTTATTTATTTTAAATTCATCTTTCAGACTTTCACCACTCAGGAAACAATCACCAACGCCGAAACCGCCAAGGAATGGTTCCTGCAGTCTGCCAAAGATGTAAGTCCAAGCAGTGCTCCTAGCCAGAAGACCGCTGTTGTAATGTGCACTAATGATCGGGAAGCACTTTGATTGGTTCCGATCACTATGAATGCTAACTGTGCTGATGTTGATCTAGATATACAGACTTGAAATTAAAACCGCTGTTCTGTTACCATGTTTCAGAAAATCCCCCTACGCAATTCTACATGAATGAATAGTAAATACCATCGCTCCCCCTGTTGGAAACTGTGAAGGTCCAGATTCAGCTGTTTTGGGTTTCTCTAGGGTTCTCTAGCTAGCGAGCGCTGGTCCCCATAGCTGTCTAGCGAGCGCTGGTCCCCATAGCTGTCTAGCGAGCGCTGGTCCCCCATAGCGAGCGCTGGTCCCCATAGCTCTAGCGAGCAGCTGGTCCCCATTTGCATTTGCAGGTGGGTTGAATTTTACTATAGCGCTGCCCTAGTGGCCACCCAGGTTATATGAACTGTGTGCATAAGCAGTAGGTCCTCTCCTGGCTCTAGCTAACTTTATTAGTGGCCGTTCAAACTACACTCTTGCTCTCAGCTAATGGAGACCGAGCACTGTGCAAGCGCAGAGGTTGAACAGTCAGTGCTCTAGCGAGCACAGTATAGACAGTCAGCCGGTCACTGGCATATCATTCCAGTGATATTCCTTGTGCAGCCTGCTAAGAAACCATCCTGGTTGACTGCCCTCTATTTTCACTGGAGCAAAATTCATTCCTATGTACTAATGGCAGCTTCCAAAGAAAGGAATGGGGCCACTGTGTACATGCGGAGTCAGGTCCGGTTGGAAACTTTTTTTTTTTTTTTTTTTTTTTTTTTTTTGCAAATGCTGGATAGGGCCACTTGGGGTAGATTGGTGGAACAAAAAGACAGTAATGCATTTAAGGCGGGTGGGCTGCCCTTTGGGGTAAGGGGATTACTTAACATGGCTTGGCTAAAGGTAAAGCTGTCTTCTAAAAACAGATGTTGTACCAAGCCATCACACCAGATACGGGGTCCTGGTACCTTGTGGCACGTTGGTCCTGGTGTCTTTGTGGTCCAGGTGTCTTGTGACACAGGGGTTCTGGTATGTTGTGGCACGGTGGTCCTGGTGTCTTGTGGCACTGGGGTTCTGGTATCTTGTGGCACAGCTGCACATGGTTGGTAAAATTGTATAAGAAAAATGAAGTTGTTTCTGTATAAAAACACAAACTCGATTAATGCTTGACATCCATGGCCCCAACTCTGCCAATAATCTTGGTAGTTCTTGGTGGCTTAAACATTCACCACATTACAAGTCTCCTGACTTTTTGCCGCATAATCCCCAGTAGCTGTAATAGTTGATGGTTTCGCTGCCCTTCTTGCCTAAGTAGCAGTAAAGTTTGGCTTGCTGTTTCTGCCAGCTGTCATACATTGGAATGTGGTCACTTTTTTTCCACCTTTTTAAAAATAAGCAGATCAGTAGAGCATCCGCAGACAGTATGGTGCATTTTTAATGAGGTTATTACTGTGCTATAAATACGTATGTGGATTCCTGTGCTGGGTCAGAGGGGAGGAAAACCTCAGCTATTCAGAGATTGAATTCTGCAGGAGTGACCTTGCCTCCGTCTACAGAGCAAGATGGAAAGAAGCTAGGTATGTCAGATGGATTTTTAAGGTTCCCACCACAAAATACAATTCTTGAAATTATCAATTTTTTTTTATTTTCTATCATAAGATTATTTTCTCATCATGAAATACATACAAATGTATCTGCAATGTAGAGTTCTGTTTTTAGACACCCCTGCCATCCTCCTGACGCAGTCCCTTTTGACTGCAAAACTGGTTGAGCATCCTCCATACTTTACACCTGCTGAATAGAACTGTGTGCTTTCAATTATGCTGCCTATAATACATTTATTTTTAACGTTTACATATTTAATACAAATTTTTTGTTTTTTTTTTTTGTTTTTTTTAATAGTGTCGTATGGTGGGTACCTCCATTAGCCTCTCTGACATACCGATCTTATAGATATTTTTGATATGGTACCCCTATTTTTCCATGAGCTAGTACCAATATTGAAACTATAAATAAATAATTAGTGTGTGTGTGTATATGTATGTGTGTGTGTGTGTGTGTGTGTGTGTATATATATATATATATAATGTTCTTGCACATGGTACTGATGATGGAGGAGCTTGTTTTGCACGTGTGTGTTTTATATGGTTTATTTTTTTTATATATATTTTTTTTTCTCTGTAGCTTCTTTTGCACACAATATGGTACTGATGGAAAATTCACTAACTTTTAGGTCATATGCACATTTTGCACGTGTGTGTAAATTACTGACCAAAAATGTAGAGGGTGTTGTGTGTGTTTTTTTTGTTTTTTTTGTGTTTTGTTTTTTGTGTTTTTTTTTAATTTTGTAAATTGAAGCACTTGTTTATGCACATTTGTGAAAAGGCACATAGTACATAATGGGCTACATTTTGCCTCCGTAAAAAAAAAAAAAAAACTATACTGTGCTTTTTTTTCAAGCTGCAGTGTGCAAGAGTCCTTAGTGTGATTTCCTGAACTGGCTTGAGGTTTGAAAATCCCAGCTGCACGATTTGAGCACCCTTCACCCATCTCCTGAACAGGACCCATAGTTGTATTATTGCTCATAGCTGGTATTTAATACAGATGGTACACTGACATCTCCTTCCTCCTATATTCCAGGCATCCGCAGTGGCCAAGCACTTTGTTGCTCTGTCTACCAATGCAGTAAGTAGCGTTCTTCCACAGCCTGCCTATAATGCCATGTAGAAGTCATATTTTATTTGCTCACATTGTATGTTATTATCTTGTATAACTTTTTTTTTTTTTTTTTTTTTTTTTTTTTCTCTTCCAGCCAAAAGTGAAGGATTTTGGAATAGACACCGCCAACATGTTTGAATTTTGGGATGTAAGTCTTCTTCTCATTGTCCTGTTAGTTGGGCAAAATCTCTGTACCTTTTTAAAGCATTAAATAATATTCCACATTCTCATTAGGATAATTCTTTTAAAGGGAGTATAAGCCCTAACAATGAACTAGTCTAATTTTCTGTCCAATTTAATATATTCCTTGAAAGTTTTGTTTTACCTGTTGGGTGCCCCAAAAACCTGTTGAATCTTGTCAGAAGCTGACCTGTGTCCTCTGCACACTGCCTGTATTTTCTCAAAGAGCCCTTCTAGCCCTTGTCTTGGGACTACAGAATGATCAGCCTTTTTGTAGAGATTAGAGACTGAGGGCATTTAGTAGTTTAGCAAAAAGACATTGGGCAGGGCTGACACCACTCAATGAGTGTTATGCTGTCATTCCACAACAGGACTTTGGGGCTGAGTGATTTTCTGGCAGATCAACGGGTATTTTTCTGTACTTAACTCCTTTGCGCTGGTGCCTCCTGACCCTTTAAGAGTTTCAGAAGCCGGGCGGCGGGCAAGGTTTTAGGGTCATGTGATTCCCCATCACAGCGGTCACATGATTGAAAGGTCCCGATCGTGAGTCAGACATATGTGCTGGGAGCGTGCGTTCTCAGCACATATGTATTTTCTAATGGCACACAAATATGCAGCCGCTCGGCGTCAAGACCCAGATGCCGAGAGGCCGCATATTTGTGCGCGCTTGGCGTCTAGGGGTTAAAGGGACAAAACATGAAGAAATTTCAATGTGCATTCATTGCCGAGATATATTGCATATGTTTATTATGCAGAAGGATGATGGGATTTTTAGCCTCACAACAGCTGCAGTGCCGAGATCACCTACCCCAGTCCTATATCCTAAATGAAGGCCCAGTGGCCTTTCTGCCCTCTGTTGCTGCCAATATCATTTAGTCTAACCCAATTCCAGGTCAGTTTGCAGCCCGCTCAAAGTGATTCTAAAGAACTTATTTTTTTCCTACAAAAAAAAACAAAACATGGCAGCACAGTGTGTAAATGGTTAGCACTTCTGCCTGGCAGTACTCGGGTCATTGGTTTGAATCCCAGCCACGGCACCTCCTGCCTGGCGTTTGCATGTTCTCCCTGTGCCTGTGTGGGTTTCCTCCCACACTCCAAAGACATGCTGGTAGGTGAATTGGCTCCTGTCTAAATTGTCCCTAGTATGTGTATGTATGAATGTGAGTTAGGGACCTTAGATTGTACACCCCTTGAGGGTTAGGGACTGATGTGAATGTACAATATATATGTAAAGCGCTGTGTAAATTGATGGCGCTATATAAGTACCTGAAATAAAATGAAATGTCTATACCTACCTACTGTGTGCAGTGCTTTTGCACAGAGCAGCTCAAATCCTCTTCTTGGGTCCCCTGCAGGCTTTCCTGGCCCTTCCTTACCGTCAGGTGCCTACACATCAAGCAGATTGCTATGGGGGAACCCGCTGCTCCGTGTCCAATCATACATTGAGCCGTAGCTTGGCTCCGCCCCTCTCCTCATTGGCTTACAGGCTGTGATTGACAGCTGTGGAAGCCAATGGCTTCCACTTCTGTCTCAGCCAATGAGAAGAGGGAGTCCCAGGATAGCCGAGACTACAGTGCACATCGCTGGACCGAGAGGGTCCTTAGGTGAGTATTAGGGGATGCTGCACACCGAAGGGTGTGTTTGTGTTTTTTTTTTTTTTTTTTTTTTTTTTTTTTTTTTCCATTTTTGGTTTGGCTTGCATGAGCATAGTACAGATTTGCTTTGTGTATTATAGGAAGGTAAAATCAAGGCAGGCGTATTATTGCTATCCGTTGTCTTATTGGCTGGATAGGAAATTTTCAGGTGGTGTAGGAAATGCTAGCAGCAGGGTGCAGAGGATACTCTATTGGTTTCTATACCTGACAACCAGCGAAAACCATGTCACATAACCCGTACTTCTACCTCTGTGGGAATCTCCACGGCCCCCAGTCTGAAGATCCCCGGCTACAGACAGCTGCCGGGTAACATGACCTCCCTGCTCTCTGCTAGTTATTCTCAGGACTGACCTTTTTTTATGCTGCTTGGGGCTGGCTGACTACTGTACACATGAAAGGTCAGAGAGCATTTCAATATCAAGACAAACTATTCTGAGTGCTGACCTTTAAATGGATTGTGTTTTTAATATATACATGTTTTATTTATTTTTTACTAATTTTACCTTATTTTTCAGTGGGTTGGAGGCCGTTATTCTCTCTGGTCTGCAATTGGTCTCTCAATTGCCCTTCATATTGGTAAGTACAAGTTATGTCTATTTCCCCCCCCCCCCCCCACCTATATACCAGCTCATTTCCGTGGCTCCTCCACCTTGAATGCAGTTGTTGTCTAGTGAGGCTAGGTTCACATTTGCCTGCATTCTGCATGCTGGTTTCAGGAATTGCACCTGCAGTCAAATCGTCCCGCTCTTACAAGACGCACGTGGCTGCCATTCATTCTGAATGGCACCCCATGCATCTCAGTCCTCAGCGCGTTTGTGGGTGCAGGAACATTGCATTATCAAGAAGACCATGGGGGCTCCCTGTGGCTGCATTTTTTAAAAGGGTGCATGCACCTTTTTCCTGCTGGGAAATGTAGGCACAGCAGCGCATTCAAATGAAAGGGCTGCCATGCCCGAGCAAATGCTAGCCACACGGCCCACAATGGTGTGAACCTTGGCTAAAACTTCCTCCAGCCCTGTAATCAAGCAGCTGCAGGAATAGCCTACGGAAGGAGAGATGGTCACTGAAATTGTTGCTGTGCTTTTAGAACACACCTGAAGGTCCAGAACGGTTCTATTAGAGAATCCGGGACTTTAATCTGATCCATTCGGAAAGCTATGAGCCAAAATTAATTGTACCCGAGCCTCGCTGGATAAGGAGAAGAATCCTAGGTTTTACCTGTAATGCAGCCTTACGCACCAGACCCCATGCAGATGGAACCCTGTGCAGTTTTAAATTTGCCCAAGGCGCTTCCAGCAGGGTGCCAAACAGGCCAAGGAAGGGGCTCCTTAGTATGGAGTCCTTGAAGGTCTGTATGACAATACCTGCAATAATGGGTAAAGGTTGGTGCCCGCCGGAACTCTGGGGACCTGCGGTGGGGACTGGTAAGATCTATTATTTTTTTTTTTTTTTTTTTTTTTTTTTTTTTTTTTTTTTTTGAGGCCCATTGCATCTCACTCTTTTGCCTGCACTTTTTTACAAGGAGTGATGCCTATTGATCCTCCTGTCAGGTTGTTGCCTGTGACCTCAGGGACCTGAACTTTCTTTTGGAGCTTTTTCAAAAACCACCATTTGAACCTATTGGAAAGGTGTTGTTTCTAGTGGCAATCACTTCTGTGAGAAGGGTGTCGGAGCTGGCAGCTCTTTCTTGCAGAGAACCATTTCTGGTTTTGCATCATAAGGTGGTGTTGCAACCTTAACTGACTGACTTTTTTTTTTTTTTTTTTTTTTTTTTCCCAAAAGTTGGTTTCTAGTTCATCTCAATTATGACATAGTTCTGCCTTCAATCTTTCTTACCCTGCTGTAAAAGTTTTTTCTTGAAGGTGACGGCAAAGGTCAGGAGGGCGAATGCTCTGTTCATGCTGCCAGAGGGGCCTAGGAAAGGGCAGGCAACATCCAAAGCGACTATCTCACATTTGGATTTGCCAATTGATAATTCAAGGCTATGGTTTGAAAGGTGAAGGCACTCTGCCAGGGTGTGGGGCATCTTGGGCAATCCGCCATAAGGCGTCAGTAGCTCAGGTTTTCAAGGCTGCTACATGGTCTTTGGTTCACACATTCACAAGGTTCTACCAGGTGGATGTCAGAACCTCAGAGGACTCTACCTTTGGCCACAGTGTTTTACAGGTGGCTGAGTAGGTCCTGAGGGATTATGGATGGTGGCTCGGTGTCACCCTCAAATTGTTTTATTGCTTTGGGACATCCCACATGGTCATGAATAGCCTGCTCTGTCCTATGATGTACAACAAAGACTTTTTTTTTTTTTTGTTTTTTCCCCCCCCCCCCACATACTTACCTGTAAAATCCATTTGTTGGAGTTCATAACGGGACACAGAGGTCCAGCCCCTCTTTCTGGAATTTCATTGCTTGCTACAGAAACTGAAGTACTTCCTGTATAGGAGGGGTTATATAGGGGAGGACCTCTCTGGCCGTCCAGTGTCCATCTATAGGTGGCCTATAACCCCCATAGTCATGAATAGCCCGCTCTGTGTCCCTTTTTTTTTTTTTTTTTTTTTTTTTATGTACTGCAAGAAATTTGATTTTACAGGTAAGTATGTAGAGAAAAAATCCAATATTTTATTTATTTTTTTAGTAAATATGCCCCATTTTTTGTGTAGGTTTTGTAAGCTCGACTCTCATGCATCTCAAAGCCATAATTTGCTGCTCACATGTTGCAATTGGCTTGCTTCTGAGGCTGATGCCTTTTGTACACTTACCATTATATACCCAGTTGAATTCCAGGAAATGTTAGCTAATGCTAAAATACTGTAAAAGTGACCAGTACTGCCACCCTTGAAAATTGCCTTCCTAAGCAAATATGCTGCTGCCTTATGTTGGTGGCCGTGGGAAGAATGCCCCTCACGTTGTTGGCCGGTGGGAAGAATGCCCCTCACGTTGGTGGCCGTGGAGAAAGGCTAGAAAGATAATTGGTGTCACTGGTTGCGTATCTGAGAGTCAGAAATTGACCATTGTTCAAGGAACCCCTAGCAACCTCCAGGAGAACTCTAAGGGAACTCTAAGGTCTAAGGAAAAGTGGCAGTTTTTATTTAATGTATGTATTGCCATTTTTGTTTTCAGGTTATGATAACTTTGAGAAACTTCTGGAGGGAGCTCACTGGATGGTAAGTGGCCACTGTACTCTGGTCATTCAGTCTCCTTCCCCCCCCCCCCCCCCCCCTGTATTATCTGTCTTGGCTGGTCCTGATTGCATGTGTGTGTGATCCGTGGGAGTCTCTTATTTTGCAGGCACATGGCTTGGAATTGTATAGCCCACAATCTATTACCCTGCCCCTCCTTCTCTGGTGGACAGAGGTTTTGTAATAAAAAGTACTTAGCCCCCCCTGCCCCCCCTTCGCCCCGCCTTAAATTCACTTTTAAAGCTCTCAGTTGATGATAAATATTTAGAAATAGAATTCTGAGGTCTGCTGCCATGTTCTGATCCTGTAGACCGCCTCTGCCAGGAATTTGCCATCTCTTGGGAAGTGAAGCTACCAAATGCATTTTTTTTTTTTCTCTGCATATTAGATGCAGATCTTATAATTTATTAAAGCGCTTTACTAAGCAACGGCTGCTGCTAATCCGGCACCAGTCTGCGTATTGGCCATCCAGCTTCAGAACTGACAAGTTATCTTGGCTTCAGCTACTTGTAACTAGACAAACTTCTAAAGTTTTTGAGGCTTGGGCTCCATGTACACTGGCTTTAAAAAAAAAAAAAAAAAAAAAAAAAAAAATGCCAGGGCTCTTGGCAGGAAAACCGCTAATTTTGAGTTTCTTCTTCCTTTCTTCTCCTTCCTTTCTTCTCCTTCCTTTCTTCTCCTCCTTCCCTTCTCTTCTCCTTCCTCTCTTCTCCTTCCTCTCTTCTCCTTTCTCTCCTCTCTTCTCCTTCCTCTCTTCTCCTTCCTCTCTTCTCCTTCCTCTCTTCTCCTTCCTCTCTTCTCCTTCCTCTCTTCTCCTTCCTCTCTTCTCCTTCCTCTCTTCTCCTTCCTCTCTTCTCCTTCCTCTCTTCTCCTTCCTCTCTTCTCCTTCCTCTCTTCTCCTTCCTCTCTTCTCCTTCCTCTCTTCTCCTTCCTCTCTTCTCCTTCCTCTCTTCTCCTTCCTCTCTTCTCCTTCCTCTCTTCTCCTTCCTCTCTTCTCCTTCCTCTCTTCCTCCTTCCTCTCTTCTCCTTCCTCTCTTCTCCTTCCTCTCTTCTCCTTCCTCTCTTCTCCTTCCTATGTTTTTGCTGTCTGTGTGTGTTTCTGGCAGAAAAAAAACCCTCAAATGCAAAAGTGAAGGTTTTGGTGTTTTTGTTTTTTTGGGATTTTTTTTTTGTCCCCCCCCCCCCCCCCCAGTGTGTGGAATCTTAATGTATGTAAGTTTACAAAGAGCCAAAATCATAATAGAGGGGACATCTTCCACTGGTGACCTCCTGTGTCGGTGACAACTGTCTAAGGCTTTTTTCACCCACTTCCTCTTTGGGGAGATTTCCCCCTCATTTCCTGTCCCATAGCCAGTGGGATGCAGAGGATGAAAACTATACTAACTGAGGTTTTAATCTCTCATTCTTTAGAAGAGGAAAAAAAAGTTTTGCTTTAAATCTTTATTTCACTGCTTGATGTTCATTGTGTTTCAGGACAATCACTTCTACAATGCTCCTCTGGAAAACAATATCCCAGTAATTCTGGCCATGCTGGGTATCTGGTACATCAATTTCTACGGGTGTGAGACCCAGGCCCTGCTTCCCTATGACCAGTACATGCATCGCTTTGCTGCCTACTTCCAGCAGGTGTGTAAGCCAAGGATTGTCAGTTTTCTGATTTTTAAGTGCAAAAGGTTGAATTGGAATTTTATTTAACTTTTTTTTTTATTTTTAAATCCCCATAAAGGGTGACATGGAATCCAATGGAAAATACATCACCAAGTCAGGGGCACGTGTCAACTACAACACTGGGCCTGTAGTGTGGGGGGGAGCCTGGAACCAATGGGCAGCATGCCTTTTATCAGCTCATACATCAAGGTTTGTATGTGTGCCATATGGACATGGCTGTAATTGACCACAAATGGGTTTAAATGCTAATAATTTAGAGTACGCAAGTACCAATTTCTGTTTACATCAGCATCAATAGACACTTTAAAAAAAAAAAAAAAAAAAAAAATGAAAAGAATCGTTTTCTTTACACTATATTTTTAGATGCAGTGATGTTATCAGTGGGTCTCTGTGATTATCTGTGCAATGTAGGCAGATCATGGCTGATGGGCAGGGACGGTCCTGTACACAACTTCCTGATAACACCTCAGTACTCCTGTGGAGAGCCTTCAGTCCAGTTGACTGGCTCTTGGGAGCAGATATGTAAATGTGAAAACATCTTGATGGATGAGTGTCAGTCTGGAGGAGTGGGTGTTCCTAGGCAGGCTGCTTTTGCATGCATGCCGACCACCCTAGATAACATTTCACATGTGATTCTGAGCCTCCCGGAATGCAAAACTGAAATCCAGTGAATGCAAGGAGAGGGCAAGGGACAGTCGGGCTGGGGAGGAAAGAGCTATTTGATGCCGGATGTCCAGGAAATGAGGTGGAGCTCTGTCTGACTTGCTGCAACTTCTAATGCACATTGTGAGAAGCTCAGTGTGCAGTGAAATCAGAGTAAGCCATTTCAGTCCAGGAGAGGAGCCGGTACACCTGTGCAAGACTGAAGGGGAGGCCGGGGGTCAGATGTTTAGTTTTAACAATTCTGATCTCTCTATAGGAACTCGCAGGATTCCATGTGACTTCCTGATCCCGGTACAGAGCCAACATCCAATCAGGAATGAGCTGCACCACAAGGTGAGAACGGTACACCACTGCACCCATTTCTGTACACTTCCCTTTGGGTTTTTGGGAATTTCCTGATGACCTCGGAATCCCGCCAGTGCCTTCTCCTGTATTGTGATTAATGTGTGTGCCAAAATGTACATAATTGTGCCTAAAGGCCCATTCCCAAATATCACCCCCCCAACCATTTGAACAGCATATGGTTGGGGGGGGGGGGGGGGGGTGATTTGGGAATCGGCAATTTAGACTTTGACTATGGCACACCTGATACTGCCGGTATACTCCATATTTTTTTTTTTTTTTTACCTCTCCTGAATCTCTCAAATGGCAGCAGAGCTGATAATATTTAATTCTTCTGTTAGAGTGGACATCATCCAGGCTACTACAGCCTTTTCTGTCAGGTTCAGCTCCACTTATAACTGATCTTCTCTCTCATTAGATCCTGTTGGCTAACTTCCTGGCCCAGACAGAGGCTCTGATGAAGGGAAAGTCTACAGAAGAAGCCAAAGCTGAACTGCAGGCCTCTGGAATGAGCGGAGAGCCACTGGAGAAGCTGCTTCCACATAAGGTGACTTCATCCTTTAATTTTATATCCGCCAACCCTTGTGTGATTGGAGGTTGTTGATGCCTAGAATGTCAGACCAATTATTAAGCAACTTCAGTTAACTTGGAAAATAATGCCACTTATTAACCCACCTTCATTTTGATATTCATCATGGGGGGATGTGGTTCTGTTTTTTTTGTTTTTTTTTTTTAGAACAAATTATCTGCTCAGGCTTAAATAAGAAAAAGATTTATTAAAAAAATTAGGTATTTTAATTTTTTTTTTAAACAGCTAGAATAAGGCTGTTTTCACACTGTTCTGTTTGAAAACTGTATGTGTGGGTTTTTTTTTTTTGTTTTTTTTTTTTGCCACGTTTCCCCCATGTTGCATTAACCTTAACATAATGCATGATTTTTTACGTGGTTTCCATTAATTTCAATGGAAAATTACTTTTTTTTTTTTTTTTGTTTTTTTTTTTAAAACCAGGCCAAAAATGCAGCAAGCAGGATTTTTTTTTTTTTTTTTTTTTTTTTTTGCAGTTTTAAACTGCAACTGAAGCGCAGCAGACCTTTGTGAAAAGCTACAGAGGATTTAAAGGGATGCTGTGTGGGTTTTTTTTTTTTTTTTCTTCACTGAATGCACCAAAACTGGATCAGTGTGCAAGCCGCCTGATTGCAGCTGTTGCTTCATAGGAGACATGATGAACAAATGCAGGAAAACCAGCCGTTTGATTTAAAAGATTTCTTGTAATTTTGCTTTTATATCCTCCCTTTTTGTAATTTTGCTTTTATATCCTCCCTTTTTTTTTTTTTTCTTTTTAATCGATCTCATCACTGTTTACATTTTATATTATCATATTTAATTAAATTTTTTTTTTTTGGACAGTTTATTGGTTCTTGGTCCTGATTACATGCTAGTTGCTCTTCTGTTGCAGTGTGGAAAAGTTATCTGTCTTGTTTTTGATGAATGCTAGGGTCTTCCACTTGAAGCAGAGATCCTTTTTAATAAGACTGATGCCTCCTTCTTGGTGTGGGTGATTTGTACGCTGGAATTAATATTTCTGTTTTTTTTTTTTTTTTTTTTTTTTATTAATAGGTTTTTGAGGGGAACCGACCAACAAATTCCATCATGTTCCCTAAACTGGACCCATTCATCTTGGGAAGTTTAATCGGTAACTATTGTGATGTTTGGATGTTTTTTTGTGTGTGTGTGTGTGTGTGTGTGTGTGTGTGTGTGTACCCTGCACACTAATGACTTTTTTTTTTTTTTTTTTACTCCTAGCTATGTATGAACACAAAATCTTTGTCCAAGGTACTGTGTGGGATATCAACAGCTACGACCAATGGGGGTGAGTATCCTTATTTCTGCAACAGCACACACGTGAAACTTGGTCGTGTGTGTGTATGCATGCATACATACAACCAAGTTTCAAAATTATGTATGTGTGTGTAAAATATATATATATATATATATATATATATATATATATATATATATATATATATATATATATATTATATATATATATATTCTCTTTCAGTATAACTGAGTACACCCCTTTTGAAAAGTAAGATCTCAATGAACACAAGAAGAACAATTTGCGAAATTGTGACAACTGAATTTTATAGAACATTTTGTTTTGGCTCATTACAGGAAAGGAAAGTTAATAATATAACTTGGATTACAAAATCTTCAGTTTTACTCAAATTAGTTGATGCAAAAATGAATACACCCCACAACAAAAATAAACTCAATCTAGTATTTTGTATGACCTCCATGATTTGTAAGGACAAAACCACAAATAAAGGAGTGCTCCCAGCTCTATGGAAGTCAATGGTCACACGCCTAGGAATCAATAAAATTGAAATTCACTTTAATGTTGGGTTAAAAAGCAAGACATGTAGGAGTGCCCAGATAAACACATCTATTATTCAAAACCTTTTTCTTAACCTTAGCTCAATTAATAAATCAAAACATAAAATTAAAGTCCCAAAAATTAAATTTTCAAGTCCACCAAAATCTCTTAATCCTGTGTGTCCAACTTCAATATTTCCAGCATTCCGGACCCAGTAATTTACCTCGAAAAAATAAAACTAAAAATAGTGTATTACCTTCAAATGTGTATATACCTTTCAAACAAGTATATACTAAATATCTGTGCAAAAATTAACATAAAATAGATTCAACTGTGAGTAACATGTGAATCGTGCAAAATCACTCTGTACACTATAAAACTAATATATGACAAATTGTGTACACTCAAAAACAAAAAATTAAGAATTTAAAATGATAAATATAATTAAACAAATAAAATAATTAAACCAAATCAATTAAATAACAGAAATAAAATAAAATTTAAATTAAATAAATATATCAAATTAAGTGAACACTCCGTGACCACCTCTAAATGGCAAGAATGCATACAATTACCCTCATGGAGTAATATCAAGCCTTAAGGGATAATCCAATGTTATAGCAGTCACTTCCAAGCTCTCAATAGCTGTATGTAGGGTAAACCTTCAATGCACCATCATCCTCATAAAAGATAGAAAAGAACCCATGTATCATGATATAATATGTATCAAAACATTTAATGCAGCATCTTACATTACGGACTTTGAACACTCAGTGAGACTCCCATGATCCAGCCATAGCAGCTTCCTAAGATCAAAAAACATGTTTTTCCAGTCAGCAAAATGGCTGCACCGTCACTTCCAGTTTAGCACAATTACGTCAGACGTCACATCCCCTGGCACGTTTTATCACTTCTGGACTTCTTCTGAAGGGATAGATACATCACCAAGCCAGTGGAGAGGAGAAACATATTCCCGGAAGCTGGAGGATGACACTATGGGGTTTTACCCAAAGTCTACTTTTTATCTAATGGGATTGAATTATAAATATTTTCAAAGATTCTTGCAATCTTCACCCAGGATGCACATATATTCTAAGTGACCCCCCCCCCCTTCCACATCCCCATAGTGTGTATAGGAATGTTGAAATTGAGTTCTGTTTTTCATCTGGATTTTTTTTTTTTTTTTTCTTTACATTTCTGCTTTCTTGGAAGCAATATAATATAACATGGTATGGAGCTGCTTGGATCTGCTCTGTACACTGTGAACTGAGCCATTGGATGACTGTTCACATCACAACCATTAGTGGGCACAGTGGCCACCCAGGGGGGATTTCTGGGCTCCCATTTTATAAATGGCACTCCAGAAACAGAAGTCCACTTCCCTGCCATTATTTTACAATACAGCAGTAGGGTGATTATTAAAGATAGGCTGTCATGACAGAAAATATGGAGGATTTGTCTTTCCAATCATCTAAAAACCTCACCTGATTATACTGACACCAACACATTTGTGTCTGAACAGGGTGGAGCTCGGGAAACAGCTGGCCAAGAATTGAGCCTGAACTGGAGGGCGATGCACCCGTCACCTCCCATGACTCCTCCACAAACGGCCTCATTAACTTCATCAAGAAGCACCGGCACTGACTAGGAGCCCTTCCAGACCACCGCGTTTCCGGTGCCCCCTCTGTCCAGTTCTCGGCTTTAGCATAAAGGCACTTTTCTTTTGATTTGTAGTCTGTGTTTTGTGACCTTTCTGTCGTTGTGTTCCGGTCAGTACACGGCAAAAACCACAAATGACAGCTTTTGTCCTGTATGTCAGTTAGGGTTTATGTACAGTAGATGTTGCTGCACTGTTCAGATTGCAGGGATCCGAGGACCACAAAGTCTGCACCGGGCACCCACAAACCTGTCCTGCATCATGCACTGTCCACTGTCCTGTTCTGTGAAAACTGGAGTTACAGAATAAAAACAATCACAAAAGATGCATGGAAATTTTGCTTTATTTATTCCTGGGGTTGAATTTTGTTTGTTTCTTTTTTTTAACTTCTAGTTTTTTTGCTAACAACATAAAGAAATCTTTAAAACTTTCCATTTTCAATATGTTTATTTTAGGTCATCTCTGTGCTTTGCTATGCAATGCAGGCAGATTATGGCTGGTGGGAGGGGCTGGCAGGGTACTGTACATTGCTTCCTAAAAACATCACAGCCCCCTGCCCCACTACTCCTCTCAATTAGCCCTCAGTCCTAATGCAAGCAGTGGGTGGGTTCTTGGGAGGAGTTATGTAAACATCAAAATGCCCTGATGGGTAGGTGTCAGTCTGAAGGAGTGGGCGTTCCTAGGCAGGCTGTATTTACATAAATGCAGAACAGGGACAAGCTGGCAAGGAAAGGGCTAGATGTCCTCCAGCCAATCACGGAGGTGAGCTTTTATCTGACTTGCTGCAGCTTCTAATGCACATTGTGAGACTGTGTGCACTGAAATCAGAAAGTGCATGAGAGGAGCCTGTACAACTGAACGGAAGGCTGGGGGTCAGATTTTAGTTTAAAATGCACCTATTTTGATATGAGTTTGGGGGAGTTGGATAAAACTGCTACTAATGTAGCACTTCAAATGATTGGATATGAAAAAAATTAATTTCCATCTGAATGGACACATAGAAACTGCTATATCAATAATTCAATAAATAATAATTTATATTAAGAGAAATAAATAAAATTTTAGTCATTATAAAATAATGAATTAGATAGATATAGAGATAGAGAGATAGAGAGATATATATATATATATATATATATATATATTTGTGTTCAAAATAATAGCAGTCAGATATCACTAACCGGATCAATCACTGTTTTTGGTAGAAATTCTATTTCTACATGGCAAATAATTTACTAGCAGGTGTAGTAGAGTAATAGAAATCCAACCCAGTCATGACATGCATGCTGCTGATTCTGTGTAATTGAATCACTCATTGAAAGGGGCATGTTCAAAATAATAGCAGTGTGGAGTTCTATTAGTGAGGTCATTCATTCTTTGAAAAACAGGTGGCAATTATTGCCCTTATTGAAGGAAGGCAGCAAATGTTGTACATGCTGGTTACAGAGAATTTCAGAGAGAAATGCAGAGGAAAATGGGTCATTCCAGTCATTGTTCAGAAGAACAGTGTACCTTGATTAAAAAGTTGATTGGAGAGGGGAAAACATATAAAGAAGTGCAGAAAATGATCGGCTGCTCAGCTAAAATGATCACAAATGCTTTAAAATGGCAACCAAAAACTACTATTCGAATGGATAGGAGGATAACCAAAATGGCAAGGACTCAGCCAACAATCAGCTCCAGGAAGATGAAAGAAGGTGTGACGTTCCCTGTGAGGACTGTTACAATTAGACTCCTATGTGAAGCCAAGCTATCTGCAAGAAGCCCCCGCAAAGTCCCACTGTTGGAAAAAAGACATGTGCTGAAGAGGTTTCAACTTGCCAAAGAGCACATTGACTGGCCTAAAGAGAAATAGCGCAACATTTTGTGGACTGATAAAAGTAAGATTGTTCTTTTTGGGTCTAGTGGCCGGAGACAGTTTGTCAGACGACCCCCAAACACTGAATTCAAGCCACAGTACACTGTGAAGACAGTGAAGCATGGTGGTGCAAGCATCATGATATGGGGATGTTTCTCATACTACGGTGTTGGGCCTATTTATCACATACCAGGGATCATGGATCAGTTTGAATACATCAGAATACTTGAAGAGGTTATGCTGAAGAGGAAATGCCCTTGAAATGGGTTTTCCAACAAGACAACGACCCCAAACACACCAGTAAACATGTAACATCTTGGTTCCAGACCAACAAGATGGACGTTATGGAGTGGCCAGCCCAATCCCCGGATCTTAATCCAATAGAAAACTTGTGGGGTGACATCAAAAATGCTGTTTCTGAGTCAAAACCAAGAAATAGAGAAGAACTGTGGAATGTCGTCCAATCATCCTGGGCTGGAATACCTGATCACAGGGGCCAGAAGTTGGGTGACTCCATGCAACACAGATGTACAGCAATTCTCAAACAGTGGTTATACAGGTGAAAATCAAAATTAGAATATCGTGCAAAAGTTAATTTATTTCAGTAATGCAACTTAAAAGGTGAAACTAATATGAGATCGACTCATTACATGCAAAGCAAGATAGTTCAAGCCGTGATTTGTCATAATTGTGGTGATTATGGCTTACAACTCATGAAAACCCCAAATCCACAATCTCAGAAAATGAGAATATTGTGAAAAGGTGCAATATTCTCGGCTCAAAGTGTCCCACTCTAATCAGCTAATTAAGCCATAACACCTGCAAAGGGTTCCTGAGCCTTTAAATGGTCTCTCAGTCTGGTTCAGTAGGAATCACAATCATGGGAAAGACTGCTGACCTGATACCATCGACACCCTCCATAAGGTGGGAAAGCCTCAAAAGGTAATTGCAAAAGAAGTTGGATGTTCCCAAAGTGCTGTATCAAAGCACATTATTTGGAAAGTTATGTGGAAGGGAAAAAAGTGGAAGAAAGGTGTACAAGCAGCAGCAGGGATGACCACAGCCTGGAGAGGATTGCCAGGAAAAGGCCATTCAAAAGTGTTTCCACTTTCACAAGGAGTGGACTGAGGCTGGAGTCAGTGCATCAAGAGCCACCACACACAGGCGGATCCTGGACATGAGCTTCAAATGTCGTATTCCTCTTAAGTCCCTCCTGAACAACAAACCATGTCAGAAGCGTCTCACCTGGGCTAAAGAAAAACAGACCTAGTGTGTTGCTCAGTGGTCCAAAGTCCTCTTTTCTGATGAGACCACTTTTGCATCTCATTTGGAAACCAAGGACCCCGAGTTTGGAGGAAGAATGGAGAGGCCCAAGGACCCCGAGTATGGAGGAAGAATGGAGAGGCCCAAGGACCCCGAGTATGGAGGAAGAATGGAGAGGCCCAAGGACCCCGAGTATGGAGGAAGAATGGAGAGGCCCAAGGACCCAGAGTATGGAGGAAGAATGGAGAGGCCCAAGGACCCAGAGTATGGAGGAAGAGAATGGAGAGGCACACACTGCAAGATGCTTGAAGTCCAGTGTGAAGTTTCCACAGTCTGTGTTGATTTGGGGAGCCATGTCATCTGCTGGTGTTGGTCCACTGTGCTTCATTAAGTCCAGGGTCAATGCAGCCGTCTACCAAGAGATTTTGGAGCACTTCATGCTTCCTTTATAGGGATGCTGACTTCATTTTCCAGCAGGACTTGGCACCTGCCCACACTGCCAAAAGCACCAAAACCTGGTTCAATGACCGTGGGATTACTGTGCTTGAAGGGCTAGCAAACTTGCCTGACCTGAACCCCATAGAGAATCTATGGGGCATTGCCAAGAGAAAGATGAGACATGAGACCGAACAATGCAGAAGAGCTGAAGGCCGCTATTGAAGCCTCCTGGTCTTCCATAACACCTCAGCAGTGCCACAGGCTGATAGCTTCCATGCCACGCCGCATTGAGGCAGTAATTGCTGCAAAAGGGGCCCAAACCAAGTACTGAGTACATATGCATGCTTCTACTTTTCAGAGGTCCGATATTGTTCTATGTACAATCCTTGTTTTATTGATTGCATGTAATATTCTCATTTTCTGAGATTGTGGATTTGGGGTTTTCATGAGCTGTAAGTCATAATCATCACAATGATGACAAATCACAGCTTGAACTATCTTGCTTTGCATGTAATGAGTCTATCTCATATATTAGTTTCACTTTTTAAGTTGCATTACTGGAAATTAACTTTTGCACCATATTCTAATTTTTCGAGTTTCACCTGTACAACTAAATATTAATGAAGTGATTCAAAGGAAAGCAAAATCTTCAAACATTTTTCAGTTTATATAGTGAATGTTTGAGTTTGTAAAGAATACAAACACTGCTATTTTTTTGAACAGTCTAATATTCCCTTTTCTTCAATTTTTTTTTTTTTTCTTTTTTTTTTTTTTTTTTTTTTTGAGGAACACAAATTTTGATATTTTTTTTCTTCATGTTTTGATTTGGAATAGAATGTGTAGTGTTTCCAACGCATTTTGTGTGTAATGGAAATAAAAGCTATTAGAAGGATTTTGAGCTTCACTTTTTTCAACACACTGCTATTATTTTGAACACAACTGTGTGTGTGTGTGTGATAAATAAATAAATAAAAAAAAATATATATATAATCTCTCACCAGCCACTTTATTTGGTACACATTTTCAATTGCTTGGTGACACAAATTGCTAATCAGCCAATCACATGGCAGCATCTCAATGCATTTTAGGCAAGTAGAGATGGTAAAGACAACTTGCTGAAGTTCAAACCAAGCATCAGAATGGGGAAGAAAGGGGATTTAAGTGACTGAAAGTGGCGTGGTTGTTGGTGCCAGACGGGCTGGTTTGAGTATTTCAAAAACTGCTGATCTACCGGGATTTTCACATACTACCATCTCTAGGGTTTACAGAGAATGGTCCAAAAAAGAGAAAATATCCAGTAAGAGGCAGTTGTGTGGATGAAAATGTCTTGTTCATGTCAGAGAAGAAAGGGTAGACTGGTTGCTGCAACATTCAGATGGTAGGGTCAGAATTTGGAGTAAACCTGAAGGCATGGATCCATCCTGCCTT